ACCATAAATAAAAAGATCAATTCCATTACATCAAAATTATGAATCATATTAACAAAGAGTATTGTGGATACAGTTAACAGATGACAAAGAGTAAGATGTTTACAATATTAAATCAGTTCTAGAAATCTGCTCTATACCACAGAGACTGTAGTTAACAATCTGATAATGTACACTTAAAAACTTGTTAAGAATATAGATATTGATATTGTATTATAACTATCAAACTTGCTAAGAGACTAGATCTTAACTATTGCCACCACATAAATGATAATTATGTGATGTGATAGAGGCGCTATCACTACAATGGTGATCATATTAGAGTATATTCATGTATCAAATGAACATGTACACTTTAAATTTACAAGGTGTTATATGTCAAATATGTTTTCATTAAAAAAAGAAAAAAACTTGTTCAGAGAGTAGATCTCTTCCTCTCTCCTGGCTACAAATGGGCTCCAGGGTACCCGCTCCTAAATGTAGAAATGTTACAAAAAAACAAAAACAAAAACTGAGCTCCCTGTCTCCCTCTGGCAATTACATGTGTCACCCATTCCCAGGACAGCCCCTCCGCAGGTCTCTCCAAGGGGGTTCTCCAGGTCACCTGCACAAATCTGGACTTAAGAGGAAAAGAAAGGCCAGGGCCCTCACTCATCCCAGCTCTGGGCTTCCAGCCAAAGCCCCAAGTCAGGGCACACACTCAGTGTTCTTACTACACATACAAAAAAGTTAAGGGACACAAGAAATTTTTTGGAGGTGATAGATATGTTTATTAACTTGATTGTGGTGATGGTATCAAAGATACAGGCATATGTCAAAACTCATCAAAATGTATACATTAAGTATGTGCAGATTTCGGTATATTATGTGAACCTCAATAAAACTGGAAATAAACTTACAAGAGATTAATACCTACAAGGAATGTCTACCAACAAATTAGAAATAAAAACTGGAATCATGATAGGAACCTGGCAGAAGAGGAAATGCAATAGACAAACAGGAAATGAAGATCTGCTGAGCTCATTAGCAGCTAGAGGAATGAATGCAATTTAAAACAACAACGTGGCATCACTTTACACTTTGCTACTGTTAGAGTAGCAAAAATTAGGAAGTTGGATGCTTTTATGTGTTGGCCCAGACGTGAGGATCTGTGGACTTCAGTCATTTCAGCAGGTACCTGGCAGTTCATGGCCAAATTCATAGGACACTTACCCAAAGTTTCACAAACACTTGCTCCTGAATCTCCATCCAAATAAAACTCTCACACATGTCAGTGAGGTGATGCCATCAAGGACATTCATTGCAATATTATCTGTGTTGGCAGAGAGTTGGGGACAGTCT